CTGGAGGACTAGGGTCCACTGGGAGTCTGACTCTTCTTATCTCCTCAGAGAACTAGGTCCACTGAGGCCTCAGACTCTTCCACTTCCTGGAGGACTGGGGTCCACTACGAGTTCGGACTCTTCCTCTTCCTGAAGGATTGTGCCCACTGGGGACTCAGCATCCCCTCCTCACAATACTAGGTCCACTAGGGACTCAACCTCTTTCTTTCCCCAGAGGACTGTCCACTGGGGCCCCAGCCTCCTCTCCTCCTGGGAGGAGGGGTCCATCGGGCCCACTAGGGACTTTGCTTCCTCTCAAGAGGACTGGTTCACTGGGAAAGCTTTACTGATGAGAAGGACCCACTATAGACTTGGCCCTAGTGGGCCATGTCTGTTCTGGGATCACCTCATGTGTTCATTTAAGGATACGCCAGTCGTGGGAGGCAATAGCTTTAGGAAAACAAGTTCAGCCTGTCTAAGGAGACCCAGACCACCAGAGACATAGTGCAGGGGAAACAAGCAGTGGGTGGAGAGGTGGGGGCCAGGTGAGGGGATGCTGGTCAGGGTACCGAGGACCAGAGTCCACCCTAGGAGAGGAGGCCAGCCTGGGGACAGGGCCTGGGGATGACCACCACCCAGATGCTGCAGCTCCGAACAATCTCCAAGTCGGCTCAGCTCACACTGCAACTTCCTGCTCAGTACAGGGACCCCCATCACCTGGGGCCCAGCCCCGTCCTTGGGGTCATGCCTGCATTCTCCCTGACCCCCATGCCCACCTGTCAGCGACGGGAGTGCTTCCCTCCAAAGCTTCCACCTGTCACCTCTGCCCTCCACTGAACCGTTGCCCAGGCTACTCGTTTCAGGAGCCCCATCCCACTCTGTTCCTTTGTGGGGTCTCTGTAGGGGCTACACAGGCTTACCCCTCCTCATGGTGGGCCCCAGTGGCCCACACCCACCGCCCACGGAGCTGTCTTCACTGTAGACACCCCTTGCAGCGGTCACAGGAGCGTCGGCTGTACCAGCCTGAGATGTATTCCTCTCCTGCGGTGTCCTCATTACATGCATGCATGGGGACAAATGGACCCAGTGGGCCTCCTTCCTGTCCCCAGCTACTGGGAGCTGGGCTCAGTTGGCAGCATGGGCTAGCCTGGCAAAGCTAGGGTCCTCGTGGTGCTAAGAGCCCTGGAGCCCAGTTTGGCCAAGTGGCTACAGGCAGGAAGGGGTAAGAACAAGGAGAGGACAGGATGGTCCACCTCTGCTGGGGAGTGTTGGCCCTGGGACCCCCTGCTCAGGCTGTCTGCCCTCACACTGCCCACACAGCCCTGAAGCCCTGCAGGCTGCTCTGGGTCACCGTCCAGCGTCCTCTCAAGTGTCCCTCCCATCAGCATGACCCGGATCTGACCGAGCCCTGCTCCTCCTGGGACCCTAAGGAGGGACAAAGTCCTCAAGCTTGCAGTCCAGTTCCTCTTCCGCCCTTCCCCCACTCTCCTTACTGTGCCTCCCCATCTTGGCCCCCACACCCAGGGGCCCACAGTCCACGGGATCCTGAGGGCATGCCGGGTCTAGCAGGGCCCAGAGTGATCCTGGTGCAAGGCCAAGCAGGGGCTGCTGCCTGACCCCCAGTGTGAGTGGACGTCCAGGCTGGTCCAGTGGAGGAAGCTTCTCCTCCATCCATGGACACGCTGGCCTCACTACCAGCCTGGGCCCAGGAGGCCCTTCTTAACTTCTGAAGTCACAAAGACCCCTAAACCGGATGCTGGTCTCAAGCTGGGGATGGGGGGGACAGGTATAAGACAAGGCAACACTGCAGGGGGGGTGTCCAGTGGGTGTGGGGTGGCCCCTAGGCTTCTGGGGAGGAAGTTTCTCAGTCTGACCTGAGTCAGATCAGAGTTCACCAGGGGAGGGGGTGAGAGGGGGCAGAGCTGAGGGGCTGAAGGTCAGGAGGCTGCAGAACTGACCGCTGAGGGGGAGATTCTTGGTGGAGGAGTTGAAGCAGAGACAAGGAGGGCTTGGGACCAGGGTCTCAGCCTCGGGGGCTGCAGAGCACAAAGTGTGGGGAGGAAGAGTGGGGAGAAGGGGTCTGGTCCTCAGCAGTGGGCCTGGAGCCAGTTGGGATATGACCCATGGCTTTGGGGTGCTGGACATGAGTGAATGGACTCGGCTTGCTTTCTGAGCTTTGATGTTGAAGGCTCCCCGAGCACGTGGAACACAAGGTTCGGGGCGTGGGGGGGGTGGTGCAGCTGTGTGTTCAGAGGACCCTGAATCAGGCTGTGGAAGGTGCTGGATCAGGACAGCAAAGGGAGACGGCTAAGGGATGAGTCTAGGGACAGGTTGTGGACACTGAGGACCAGGGCGCACGGCAGGGCAGAGTCAGATGAATCCACGATGAGCCAGAGGGGGACAAAAGCCTGGGGGGCAGGCGATGGGCATGAGAGATTGGGGGAGGGATTTGGCACTGGTTTGAGGTGTCCAAATACAAGAGGGACAGTTGAGTAGGGTCCAGGTAAGGTTCGGCAAGTGAGTTTTCAACAAATCCTGTATGCTTGCTCCCAGGTAGCTTGGGCAGGTGTGTGTGTGTGGTGGGGGGAGGGGGGTGGCAGCGAGGGCATTCCAGGGGAAGCTTGGTACCATGTGAGTCTTCTCCTCAGGCCCCTCAAATTGTTCTTAGGGTCCCCCAAGCTGCCCCAGTACTTTGCTCCTGTCCCCTAGGTTAAACTACAACTCAGGAAGAGGCTTTTGTGGCCCCCTCACCCTCTCACCATCAGGAAGGGGGTGCTAGGGGCAGTTCAGGGGTTCATCCCAAGGCTGTGGACAGACATCCACAGCTCCTCCCAGTGCCCTCAGGTCAACCCGTAGGAGCACCTGGACAGACTTCCACCAGGTCCCCACCTGTCCACACCACTGCCCCAGACAGAGCAGGGGTGACCCCAGAGTGGAGTCCCGCCCTTGTCCATTGGTGCCCAGGAGCATTTCCTGTCGTTATGGGATACTGCTCTGGGTCTGAGCCATGGGGAGGGGGCTCCAGATCCCCATCATAGGGCTTCACTTTCCACAAGGCCCCAGAGAGCTGTCGAAATCATCCACCCTGTCCTTGAAGTTTTATAGAGAGACAGACCCCATCAGTTCAGGAGACAAAATGATTCCTTAAGGCAAAGCCACACACCCACCTCCCAGATACCGTACCTGGCAGGACCACTATGGGGAACACCCCAAAGTCACAGATCAGGAGACCCCTGGAGGGGACAGACAGGGAGGGGAGTGGGAAACAGGCAGGAGAGCCAGGAAGCTAGTGAGCTATTAAGAAACAGAAGTGGGCCTTTGGAAAGGGGAGGGGAAATCACTGATTTCCCCTCCCCTTTCCAAATATATATAGGGCAGGTACCAGGCAGTACTGAGGGGGGAAGTACCAAAGCCAAGCACCAAAGGCCCTCTTACCCCTCCCCCAAGCCTGGCCCTCCCCTGTCCTCCTCTGGGCTGTGCCATCCCCACCCTCCAAGGCCCCAGAAGGGAACCCTTTTCTCTTCACTCCTTCTCTTCCTACTCCGAAACCACCCCTGAAACTGCCCTCAACCAATGCTAAAGTTTGGTTTGTCTTGGCCACTGAGGCCCAGTCCACCACGTAACTGTCAGCCACCATCTCATCTCAGCTAGGGCCCTGATGATGTGGGCCACAGGAAACTTGGATTCTCTAAGTTCCAAAGACGGCTGACCTTGCTGTCACCTTGCTGGGACGGAGTCCCCGCTTTACTGCTCCCTGAGGTTGAGGTTGGGAAAGTAGGAGACAGATGGGGCTAGGGAGAGGGAAAGATGTCCCAGGAAAAACTGCTTCTGCAATTAAGATTTTATCGGGAGCCCTCTTAGTGTAGTAAGGAGCACTGGTAGCGTAGTGGTTATGAATCGGGCTGTGAACCTTAAGGTCAGCAGTTCGAAACTACCAGCTGTTCCACGGGAGAAAGATGAGGCTTTCTGCTCCCGTAAAGATTTACAGCCTCGGAAACCCTGTACAGGGTCGCTATGAATCAGAACTGACTCCACGGCACATAACAACAACAACTGGTAGCGTAGTGGGTGTGTGTTGGGCTGCTAACCACAAGGTCAGCAGTTTGAATCTACCAGCTGCTCTGTGAAAGATGAAGCTTTCTGTTGTCAACAAAATTTATACGGCGTCCTGGTGGTGAGGTAGGATAAGCACTGGATTGCTAAACACAAGGTCAGCAGTTCAAACCCACCAGTAGCTCTGGTTTATGCCCCATAGAGACTGACATCCTCAGGGTCCTATACAGACAGGGTCACTATGAGTCCAAACGACTCGATGGCAGCGAAAATGAATGAGAGACTACATTCTAAGCTTGAACACGGTTTATTAAATCATTCCTGGACTGTGAACCACAAGGGCGCCGGTTCCAGCGGACCAGCCACTCCACGGGTGATTGATTTAAAAAGAGTCACTCTCAGTCTGAACTGACTTGATGGTACCTAACAACAACAAAAACAACAGCACGTCTTGAATAACATCTCTTTTTCTCTCCTTGTCTGCGCTGGAAACAAAATGTCATTCCAACATCAGACTGCAAGGACGTTTCCTCGTTCTGCGCATGAACAAATCAAGCAAACTCAGCAGAAAACACGGCGACGAAGACCCCTGAACGCCAGGAGCCTGGGCTGCTCCGAGCACCGAACTGCGCAGACCCGCAGCGCTCAGGCAGTGCGCGGGACTCAGAGGTGCTCCGGAACCGGCGAGGACTACACGGTCACTGCGGCCCGCCAAGTTCGCAGCCCCCAAACCTCACCTGGCCCCAGGAGCCTGGCTCCAAGACCCGGCTGCGGCGCACCTCGGACTCGACCTCGGCGCCCAGCAATCTCCCCCGGCAGCCGGCGGACCCGGCAGTGGCCGGGCGCTCAGCTCTGTCTCCTGGGCACGCAGCCGGCAGATGACCGGTCCGTGCCCGTCGATCCGCGGTGTAGAGTCGCGCAGACGCTCGCAGGCTGAGCGAGGAGAGACCCCGGGGAGGGGCACTTACCGATCTTGGCCAGGCTGGCCACGAGGATCCACAGTGCTATAATGTAGGGATCCTGGACGTGGTGCCACTTGAAGGTGACCACCTGGAAGCCCTCGATGGAGCCGTGCGCGCCGGCCTCCTCCTCGACGCCCCGCGCCCGCGGCAGCCAGGCCAGCGCTAGTGCCAACGCCAGCAGCAGCCCCCAGCCGGGGCCCGGGGCCCCACGCACCGCCATCGCCTCTGCTCAGCGCCCGGGCCGCGCGCGCATGTCGTGGGAGGTCTTGCGGAGCTCGGCAGACAAGCGGCGCGGACGGAGCGCGCTCCGGGACTGACGCTGTCACCGGCCCCGCCGGCCGGCCCCGCCGCTCTTTATCCACAGGTCCCCTCCCGCGCCCGGGGCGGGGCCTTCCCGCCCCCGCCGCGCACACGCGAGGCGACTCCGCGCCGCCCCTGGCCGTCTGCCCCGCCCTCACCCTCACCGCACCCCCCCATCCCGTCAGCGTCCCGCCCCGCGCGGACGGAGGGCGGACCACCGGGCCTCGGCCTCCCTGGGGACAGGGGCAGCGGGGCCGGGGTCGCTGCGGACTGGGCTGCCGGGGGACAGGGCGCCCCTCGGCGGCGGCTCGTCCGGGCATATTGGCCTAAGACGTTTGGCCCCTGTCGCTGTAGCGGGTGCTCCGGGGTGCGGTCACTCGAGAGGCTCGAGGGTCAAGAGGGGGGCTGACCGCAAGTTGCGTGCTTTGTCTTAAACACTAACCACGAACTACAAACGCACGTCCCAGAACACGGTCCACCAACTTGTCAGAAACGAAAACCAACATCTAGTGCTGCTGCGGCGACCCCCTCCCGTGTCTGTCCCTCTGAGGGTTCGTCCTGGAGCCGACGACGGGACTGTGACCCACTCAGAGGGCGACCACCGGTACTTTCTGGCGGAGCCCCTCCGCACCCTCGCCCTGAGCTGCTTCCTTGGAAGCGGAGGTTCTAGTAGGTCATCCCTGGCTAGTCCCGCTTTGCGGCTCCCCCCGGACTAGCCGAGCGGCCAGAGCCGGGAAACCTCTCCCGAAGTGTAGGCGGCCTGACCCGACCTCTGACGCTGAATTCCAATCCTCCACATTCCTCCTGCTCTACCCTCAACACATGTCCAAACCCCTCCTGGTGCTGCAAGGGCCCGCGCCTCCTCGTACTCTCCTCAGAATCCTCCAACTCAGAGGGAAGGCGACTCCCAGACCCCCCCCAGATCAGCCCATCCCAACCTGGGCTGAATTTCAACTCGCCAGCCCCCTCCACTGCAGACTTCTCCGGAGGTGTCCTCTGCTCCCTCCTTGGGATCGTCAATCCTGGGGGGGTGGAAGGGGGTGGGGTCGTGGTGTGTGTGCTAGGGGCTCTTAGCTATCCCTTCGGTGTCTACAGCAGAATAAATACACAGCTACACTCAGGAAAGATTTACCAGTGGTCAGAGCAGAGGGAGGGGAGAAAAGGGAGAGGAGGAGGAGGTGGAGGGAGGGAGGGAAGGAGAGCTGCGGGTGATGCACCCTCTAAGGTCTGAGTGTAGACAGAGTCTCCCAAACCCCAGAAAAGGACAGAGCTGTTTTGTGGTGTCTCAGCTTCATGTCATGTAGGGAGACAGGATGGGGTCAGAGGGGGCCATGTGACTGGGTGTTGGTGGCCACACTTGAGAGGATGCACAGAGGGTCTCAGCCTTCCCAGGGTCCTTGAAGGCCCTTCCAGCTGCAAAGTCTTTGCAGGATCACCAGGACCCGAGCATGTGGGAGGGGGCCAGACCTGCTGGAGCACCCAGGACATGGTCCTTACCCACAGTAAGCACCACCTGGGGGCACTGACAGACCCAAGTCTCCACCATTGCAGGGTCACCAGCCTGAGAGGCCCACCAAGGTCAGATTTACCTACTTGGTGGTCACCAACCAGCTGGATAGTGGGGGCTGAGTCCAGGTGGGTGTGTCCAGAACTGGGCAGGAAGTGAGGGAGCCTGGGGCAACCCTCCCCACCAGGCTTGGTGCCACTCTGGGGGCTTTGTGTGGATATGGAGATCTGGAAAGAGGAAGCGCAGGGGTGGGGCCCTCCCGGCAGGTGGGGGTGCTGCTTAGGCTGTGCCCCCCCTTCCAGAGGCAGGAAACCTCCTGGGGGTCTCCTTCTCTGACCAACACCCCCTGTGTGAGAGCCTCCGACTGGAGACCTTCCTCTGCTGAAAGAGACCCTGTCTTCCAGGCGCAGCTCCAGGCCTGTGGTCTCCCTCGGGGCTCTCACAGCCCACCTTCAGTCATCAGCTGACCCCTAAGCTTCCCTAGGACTCATACACTTGGTACCACAGACTCTGGCCAAGCCCTAGGGCAGTACTCTGGACCCCTGACCCTGCTGGCTGACCCTGCTGGCTGCATGCTTTCTATCACATCCTCCTGGGCTAGGGTGCCTTGCCTGGGACTACAGTGCTGAAATCACAAAATTGCCGAGAGAAAGGAAAATGAAGACCTGTCCCATTCATAAACAAGACTGGCACCATGTAAACAACACGATACCAAACCAAATCCAACAAACAACAGAGGATGAAGAATTGATACATTTGAATGATGGCGTCACCAAAGAATCCTGAATATGCCATGGACTACCAGAACAACCAACAAATGGATCTTGAAAGAAGTGCAGTCAGAACGTTCCTTAGAGGCGAGCATGGCCAGACTTTGTATCACATACTTGGGACACATTATCAGGAGGGACCAGTCCTGGAGAAGGCCATCATGCTTTGTAGAGAGTCATTGCAAAAGGGGAAGACCCCCAACGAGATGAACTGGCAGAGTGGCAGCTATGCTGGGCTCAAACATAACAGCGAATGTGAGCGTGGTGCGGAAGCAGGTAGGGTTTCCCTGTGCCGAGTTACTGACTCAGCACCACCACCAACATAATGAAGATAATAGTCATGACCAAGGTTAACCAGGAATGAAAGGCTAGTTTCAGGCTAGATAAGCAACCAGTTTAATTCCTTACAATCACTAGACTGAAGGAGCAAATATGATCATTTCAACAGACGCTGAAAGAGCCACTAACAAAATTAAAAATCTGCTCATAACCCATCATTCGTCAGCTTGTCATACTGTGGTGGCTTGTGTGTTGCTGAAGACTATGCTACTGGTATTTCACATCCCAGCTTTCAGTCTAAAACGCACTGAAAAGAAGGAACTGGCTTCTAAAGATTGCAAATCCTTATAAACAGCAGCGGAGTATTGATGGAGTAGCAGAGTCTACCTGAAAGGTATCTACTTGTGTTCTATTAACTGTGCACTGTTTGGGTCATGGCAAATTATGGATGACAGTGTGAAGAAGAGACATTCCAGAACACTCGTGCTCATGTGGAACCTGTTCACAGACTAAGAGGCAGTCATCTGAACAGAGCCAGGGGATACGGAATGGTTTAAAATCAGAAAAGGTGTGCATGAAGCTTGCATTCTTTTACCGTATTTATTCAATCTGTATGTTGAGCAACTAATCTGAGAAACTGGGTTATATAAAGAAGAATGTGGCATCCGGATTGGCAGAAGGCTCATTAATAGTCTGTGATATGCAGAGGAGACAACCTTGCTTACTGAAGGTGAAGAGGACATAGACACTTTTTGATGAAGACTACAGCTTTCAGTACAGAAAGAAAACAAAAATCCTGACCAATAAATAGCATCGTAAGTGGAGAAAAGATTGAAATTGTTAAGGATTTCATTTTACTTGGATCCATGATCAATGCTCAAGGAAGCAGGAGTCAAAAAGTAAAAGGTTATATTGCATCGGGGGAATCTGCTGCATAAGACCTTGTTAAAATGTTGAGGGGAAAGATGTTACTTGGAGGACTAAGGTATACCTTACCCACGTCATGGTATTTTCAATTGCCTTGTGTCAGTACAAAGCTGGACGAGGAATAAGGCCGACTGGAGACGAGCTGATACCTTTGAATTATGGTGTTGACAAAGAATGCTGAGGAGACCATGGACTGCCAGAAGAAGGAATAAATCTGTTTGGAAGAAGTACAGCCAGATACTCCTTAGAAGCCAGGGTGATGAAACTTCCTCTCATGTACATATTATCAGGAGGGAACAGTCTCTGGAGAAAGACGTCATGCTTGGAAAAATACAGTGACAGGAAAAAGGAGAAGACCCTTAGCTGGATAGACCAATCTCGTGGCTGTAACCATAGGGTTAAACACAGCAATGATCATGAAGATGACATGGGCAGTATTTCGTTCTGTTGTAAATACGGTGACTGTAAGTCGGACTGGACTGGATGGTACCTCACAATAACAGCACCCGTGACAACAACAAAAAATAAGAAGGAAAACCACTATCAGGCTTAGAAGAGAAGCAGATTTAGGCTCCGACTCGCAGGGACTCAGTGCACGACAGAATAAAAGGCCGCCCACCCTGCACCATCCTCACAGCCCTTACGTTTACGCCTTTGGTGTAGCCACTGGGCCAATCCATCTCCCTGGGGCTCTTCCTCGTCTTCATGGATCCTTTACTGAGCTGGATACCCTTTCCCACGGACTAGTCCCTCCTGATGTGACGCAAACTCTTGCCATCCTCACTTCTCAGGAACATTCTGACTGTACTTTTCCCAAGACATATTTATACGAGGGTGGGTCACAAATTAGCTGCACTCCAGTTATATTAATCATCCACAGCTGATGACAACATTGAGAGCGCACATGAAATGATTCTGTTGAATAGATGTTGTTAGGTGCCATCGAGTCGGAACTGACTCATAGCGACCCCATGCACAGCAGAATGAAACACTGTCCGATCCTGGGCCAACCTCACTACCGCCGCCACACTTGACGCCATCAATGATGCCACCTGGCTGATCCATCTCGTTGAGGGTCTTCCTCTTTTTCTCTGACCCTCCACCTTACCCAGCATGACATCCTTCTCCAGCGACTGTTCTCTCCGGACAATGTATCCAAAGTATGAGAGACGAAGCTTAGCCATCTTGGCCTCCAAGGAGCACTCTGGCTGCACTTCTTCCAAAACAGATCTATTGGTTCTTTTGGCAGTCCATGGCACTTTTGTGGCAGTGAATTTTGTGGCAGATCATTTGCAAATCAGCCATGGCTCTGCCTATGACGTAATCCATGACAGATTTGGGTTTTGAAAAGTTTGTGTGAGATGGGAACTGTAACAACTCTCAGAAGAGCATAAACAGAAGCGTTTGGACATTTGCAAACAAAATCTGGACTATACT